GGTCAATCTTACCAGAAGAGACAGTTCCCAGCTTCTTATTATGGGTAAGATCATGAATGAGATTATCGAGTTTCAGCTTAAAAAGCCTACAACAGATGTCGGGCCTATCCTCGGGTTTTAAGTTGTATTTTTCCAGATACCTAGTAATCTCGGGCCACGCAGGATTACAAGTTATAGTGATAAATAGATCAGGAAAGCCATAATACTTGCAAGTAGCCATCGCATCAAGATAATGCTGCGTCTTGTACCTAGGCCCTCCGGTGAAAGAAGATGGTATCATAACTTTATTACCTTCTCTGGAAAGATTTTTATTTCCTTTCTTAGAAACTTTAAGAATCTGCGAATAGCTTTCACAGCGGAGATTTTTCTGGTTAAAAAACAAATAACGAAGCCTGTTGCTTTCGATCATCGTATACGCATCAACCAGGAACTGCTGATATAATCTCCTGGACATAACAATAGTAGGAGATTCACCTCGTCTCGATTGAATGCGATACGCAAAGAATTCTCTCATCGTCACTTTTGTTCTTTTTAGACCGCCTTTATCGATGAATCCAATGTCGATACCTAACCTAAATCCATCCTCGCCGTAAGGAAAAAGCAAAGGATACTGTAGAGGGAGGTAGGATGGGTGTAGCTCACTTATACGCTGAAACCCTCCAGAATTAGCCTGAAGCACTACATCACGCGGTTTAGGGTTTATATCTCCCACGATAAGCCCAGCAACCTCGTCAGTCGTAGGTATATTTTGGACTCTACCGTCACTATCTCGATGATTTTTCAAAATCAACTTAAAGCCGCTGGTATCTTCACATTGTGCTAATCTATCTCTAGCTGATCTAAACGCGATGACGTGTGGGTTGTTAGCATCTAACATATCCTTCAAAGTCTTAACGATACTCTTCTTTATTTGCTTACCCGGTCCTTTCTCGCTAAAACAATTAAAAACAACAAAAAAGGGAAATTAATTCGTGGACATAATATAAAAAATATATTACAATAAACAACTCACCCCATAACACCCATCCTATTCGAGACTTCGTTTACGGTATCATGAATATAGAGCTGCGAGAAAGCAGGACTTTTGGAAGGGCCAGGCAAAAGTTCACCGATGCGATGATAATTTTGACCCTGCATGCGAAACACATACGGTGCATTCCCATGGTTCACGGAATTATCAATTTGACCACCAAGCGACGTGAATGAGAACATCATATTGTATGCTCTAATTAAAGCACGGAAATTTTTGCTTGTCTCATCCTTGCCATACAACATCGACATAAGCACCGGTGGAGGATTTTTTAGTTTAGGCAGCTCCACTTTACCCTTCATGCAACACATAGAAAATATAGGCCTATTTTTAGCTCCACGTTTGTTAATACGCTCGCCAAACCACATATAAGCACCGCAATTTTGACAGGTGTAAAACGGATCTCCATCATCAAAATAACCTGACACAAGAAGCACTCATGTACACAATAATATCAATTATATTTTTTAAAAGATTATAAAAAAAACAACCATAGTAAGTACCATTTTCTGTTAATCCAGGTTTCACATTTATGATCGGTATGGATCCAAACCCTTCCTGTTCCATAATACACTCATCGGCGTTATCGAGATGTTCAACAAAATCATAATCCATTGCATTATCGTCGTCTGTTTGGTCCTCCCTATCACCATGATCAGAATCCGAATCGGTTGCGAGGAAATGCACGTAATCATCTTCGTAAATCGGCAACACCAACCCTTATATATAACATTTTTTTATTTGTTAATCACACGTACAATTTCGAGAATAAAAACTTAATATAAAAGGCTATCGTACCGGTTTCTGGTGGTCTTGTCCTCGCTTTTATCCGTCTTGATTTAAGTATTGCTACACGGCGCGCTCTCGCACGACAACAAACATCCTTAGGAGGTCGTGAATTCAATAACGCACGTAATTCATCAGATATCATGTTTTCATATGCCGCGATAACACGTGTTCGATTAATCGACTCCATGCCTAGAAATTATGAATATATATTAATCACAACGGAAAATATAATATGTCACTACAACTTAATTACGCGTGTGTGGGCGTTTTTATTAATTAAATTAATAAATTTTTTAAAGATAATAGACTTAACCCGATAATCTATTACGGAAGGCAGTCCTTCGTGCTCTGAGTTTTTCCATACGATAATTTCTTGCCTTTTTCGCACCATCCTTGGGTACATCGAGCAAATAGTCGAAGTTGTTATTATAAACACGGCGATGTATACGTCGATGATCACCTTTGGACGGGCATAATGAAAACAAATCAGAGTGATAGACAAGAATGTTTTATAAAAAAGGATTATGGTTATACGACAATATAAAATATATAACGTATGCAAGCTCTGCGATCTTATTTCTGACCTCTACCACGTTTCATTGTCTCCAAAACCTAGAAGATCGTGAACACAGAGGAAACTAACGGAAAATTATATATAACAATAATCTACTATGGTATTCTTTAATAGAACAACTGGAAATATTATATTTTAATATTGCGATATATATTACTAATCAATATATTTTCTAGATATATTCAAATTTTACTTTTTATTCTGATTGTATCCAAAAAAAAGAAGGAATTTTATAAAATATTTACTTTAACAGCAAACGCATTTGGTAATACCCATACATAACTTTGAGAGAAGATGAAAATCTCACGGAAATAAATATAAAAGGTAAACTGAAAACTGGAAATATTATATTTTAATGATATGTTATATAGTATTAATCATATATGTGATTCGAGCACAACGAATTTTACTTTTTAAATTAATCTCAACTCATAAATACAAGTTATAATGACAGAAAGTTAATTTTCCATGGCTTGTTAAACCTCATAATTATGGTCATAAAATATCACTTGGAGATAAAATGAAATATCACTTGGAGATAAAATGAATAGATAACATAACCGTGAGATCTGTATAAAATCATAAGAAACCATATAGCAAATTAAAGAAGCTACTCAACATACATCAGCTATCATGCATCTCACATTATAGGACGTTGTTTCATCTAGCATAAGTTGTTTGACGGTCAACGAAGAAGAAACCATGTGTTTTAACTATCGCGTTTTATGGTGCTTAAAACTCATTGCGTAATTATAAAGACACACCGTCAATAAAAAAAAAAATGTTAAGAGAACGCAATACAGGAATAATAAAATAAAATCTTCATTGCAGCGTTAATAGTTCAAAACACCGTCTATAAAAAAATATTCTATTATTTTGCCGAAACAAATCTAATAGTATAGAGAGAACCAAGCAGAAACATAGTTTATAAAACCCTAAAATAAACAGAAATAAATCAAAACGATGAAAACAATCTAATCTATCTTAAGATTGTTAAACTGATCACGCATCTTATATTCCAACGAAGGATCACATGTAGGACCACCAGCTAAAGCGACTCTCTTCCGTAATTCCGCATAGACATTGAACGTAGAGTTTTCCTTACGCATAAATGTCTCAAAGTTTTGGATTTCATTGTAGGCATACTCCGGCTCTAGAACAAAATAATAAAACATTATCCATCTGACGATATTTGTAAATATTGGCAAAAACTAACGGTGTACATTTACCATGATCGTTAAAAATAATTTGTTGTGGAAACAACACATCTTTAAACAATACATCCCAGGTAGCATCCCAGACCGACAACGGATCTGCCTCGCAGAAAACATCCATCAGCATAACAAATAAACCACGCAATCTATCGACCGACAACACCCACGAAGCCGCTTGTTGGATAGCTACGATACATTCATCCGTCTGGCTAATATGGGTTGAGTTAGTGTTTTGCTTGTTAACCTGTCCGATCAAAACATTCACATATTAATAATCAATCAACATGATTGTTATTTTCGGAAAGAGAAAGCCAATTTAACGCAAAACCAATAAACTATATCAGACCAACATCAAGTAAAAATACTAACGACTACCTCCATCTTTTCAACACGAGCGTTCGCAATGATTAACACAAGAATGCATGTATTATTTATAGACGTATATATAAGCTAGGTATTAGGGTACCCAATAAGACCTTTATTTTTACGTAAAATATTGAGCGACTTAAAACCAAGGAAAATAATATTTTCTATTATGGATAATAACAAACATACCACTATATTAATAGGAGATATGATCAAATCTATCAATACCTAAAATGTTAACTCTAACATATTGTTACACAAACAGTAAACTTAAAAAGAAACATTCTAATTCCGTCGAATATTTAATATTTTAGAATTGTTAATGTTACATATCTCAATACAACAGAACTACCAATTTATGCGTTGCTCAGAGAAACGGCCGGGATATCAACCTACGTTAGTAGACCATATAAGCATAATATGAAACGTGCAAATATATAGAGCTCGTGAATGCTCACATAACCCTAACTAATTATAAATCAGCATGCTAAATCAGATACCAAATATATCACAAATAACGTGAAACTGTTATATACGACATAAAACGAAATCCAATATTTTATAATAATACATATATAATAATATCCACGTCTTGCTAAACACATGTTACCTACATGCGACTCTTAATCTATAACAATATTTCTAAGTGAATACATTGGCGTCAAACAATAACACCTAACACATATCATTAGTATAATAAAAAATGCATGTATTAGTTGCGTATAGAATATATTCAGACCTAGCGAAAACACTTGCACGTGTATAAGCAGAAACGTCGCGTTTGTCGTTTGCCAAACAACATCAGACCGATCATAGAAAACAAAAAAACGAACAATATCTAAATATGACACTCGGGAAGGTATAAAAAAACAAAAAAAAACAAATAACGAAAACACCAAATAACATCCAGACTCAGTCACAACAAAAATCGAACATAAAGGCGCACAATGTATTGTAAAGTCTGCTATGATATTTAAATATAAATAAAACCGCTAAATCTAGATATATAAAAAAACCAAATCCTTCTTTAAGTTGTGGCAAAACTCTCTTCTTTCTTGCCCTCGATTTTGATTTTCTTCGCAGGAGGTTTCGGATTCTCGACGGATACACCGCCACGGCGAACACTGGCCTCCTTTGTAATAGGCGTTACGGGCAAAGGCACCAAAACCTTAGAAACACCAATATTAAGTATATATAAAGCAAAACACCGAATATTTAGTAAACTTAACACATACATACAGTTTCATATAAACAGAACAACCCAAGCTACAAAACACGAACCTCGGAGTCTAGACTATCAGAATAGTCTTTAATCAGCTCATCATCATCAGAAAATAACTGTACCACGTAATGCGACCGATCCGATTTCAGATTATCGCCACCTATACTCACTTTAAAAAGAAACCGCCTCCCGACCAATGCCCCAATCTCCGAGGGAAGTATAGAGGGGTCATTCTATCATTAAACCATGCAAATAGATTAAATATACGAACAAATAATCGTTAAAAATAGAATAAACAACATAACAAACAATAGCAAAAGCGAATCCATTACCTCAGAAACTGCATTATAGAGCTCCTGTGCAGTTCTACGGAGGAGGGTACTACCCATTGCATCAAACAACAAAAACCTTGCCTTGTAGTTAGTTGCATCAGAAACCTCCAGAACCAATCGGTACCTAAAACAAACAGTTATTCCAGGACAAATAATGAACAACCGAGCTCTAAAACTACACACACCAACATAGTATGACGGTATTAACATGCACAAGACGGCATAAACAATGCATTCAAAAGACACGATCACCTGAACACTACCGCAGATACATCCTTGTCACAAACGCCGCAATAGTAAAGAGGTGGGTTTCCATCATCACCAGAATTTTCTGGATAAGGCTCGACACTCTTATTACACATCTTACACGAAACGTAATACCATTTCGACGTTCGCTCGACGGATCCAACAGTGACCATGGTCACACACATACCCTCCTATAGATTTCAGAGGTCAGACTTAAAATACCAACCAGTTCTAATTAACAAACAAATTTTTTTTTTACCCTTTAAAACGCATGAATATAAAGAACAACGCATAAATTTATGGTGTCTACCCACGCCATCGGTTGGTAGCCTACAAAAAAAATTCTATATTAATATCTATACAGACATATACAATAACACAAAACATAATAAATAAACAATATTATGTCTATTACCCTGATCTGAACTCATCAACAAAAACGCCTGGAGGATCGAGTAATACACGTGTTGCGCCCATAGCATTAGATATAGTCCAATTACCTAAATAAGTTAACAATTAAAATTAGAACAGTCATCGGAATATTTGAAGTTTATTCGACCAACATATATACCTTTCCACTCCTTAACCTGAGCACACCTAATCACACAAACAACAGCCGCTGGATTTGCTTCAGTATAAACCTTAACTTGCTTAGCAAAATCCGCCCATAGAGTACATATTAACCGTACGTTCCTATTTACGTGATAAACACGTCAAAAAAACGAAGCATACAGAAAACCAAACTCTTATAATGACTAATCATAATTAACATACCCACGATCACGCAACTCGACGTCGAGCTTTGGAGTACTCTTTCCTCTGATTTTTATATCCTCTATCGGTCCAACGTTGACAATCTGACCAATAACATCTACAACAATACGTATCGTTATTTAGTTTGACAGCGATAAAGATAAACAAATATCAAACTAATTAAGATATTTTATTTAAACCAGACCTACCAACGAAAACACGCGTGTCTCGTGAACCATTTAAAACATCACCAAATTCCACAAAATACTTCTCAGGGACTTCCTTTGGAAAATCATCACATGGTTTGACCTGGGTTGTTCGGTAAAACAAAATCTTGAAAGAAAGACTGTTGCTCTTATAATCGCCAGAGTACTTGATGAGCTTGAAAGGATTTAAGGTAACGACATCACCTTCTTTCAGGACACTGTCGAACTTTTTGATATTTTTGTCTTCAACAGTTGCATGGATTCTTGAACCCTACTTAAAACCAAAAAGAGAATATGCTTAGCATACTTATACAATACAAAAACAAAGCAAACACATGATATAGAAGACATAATCTCAAATAATAATCAAATCATAACCTTTTCATCCACCAAAACCATCTCGATTGTATTGCCCGCATCTCTCTGATACGCCTTCCACAGCCTCAGGATTAACACCTTAATCTTATTCTGATCGTGAATAGGATTGATATCATCGATGAAAGTTAGTGAATTTTTGCTTTTTCTGCTTGACGACATTTTTTAACGCACAAAAGTATAATATCTTAATAGATTTCGTTAAAGTTGAAAGCGAGTAGTAGATCCTATATATAGCCATAAAATGTTTAGGATTTAACCGACCTTTTCGACTAATATAGAATAAAATTTAATAATTATGGATATTAACAAAATCGAATTAAGAGATAAATGTAAATCTTCGATATTAGCATATAAAATTTTCTGGAAATATTATAGCTTTACCAAATAGTTATTATAGATATTTTCGAATCGAATACGTAGATAAAAACCGCAATATTTACTTTTATCGTCTCGCTAAATCATAGATTAAGCATGTTTACATTTTTGTGACAAATCTATATTTTTATTTTCTGTAAACAAAGTCGATAAGAGTAAACTTTCAATGGAATCCAATTACAAAGATATTTATGTATTATGTTATTAATTTAAACTAACGAAGGTGTAAGTCCTCCTTCACTTTCCAGTTTTATATAACGCATACACTTTGAAGCCTATGACTAAAGAAAAGAATCCTTCAATATTGTTCGCAGCCTCAACGAAATGGTCAATTTAACATATATATAAAATATTATTTTAAGCCCCAACGAAATAACAAATTCGATGTAAATTTAAATGTTCTCGCTGACGAACGTATCACCGTAAATATATGATCCATAATAAGAACGTAACTATAGAATAAAAAATAAACAAAACTAAGGGATAATAGTGATCCGCATAATAGAGGTATCGCTGAAACAACTCTGTTAAAACGTAACGGAAATTGAAACATAATAACTTTAACATCCACCACCGGAGACTATAAATCCTTCCTTCTTCTTCAAGATACCCAACTACATGTTTTCCTTGACCCTTCACAATAACACCGAAGCGTAGGAATTAACAATATTATAGTCCAGACACCAAACATCATAAATCTAATTATACGGAAAACTAAACTTACAATTCATCAAAGCATTCCACTCCACGGATATCTGGATTAATCTCAATACGCGTGCAATCTGTAGCATGTATGGCCACATCACCTGCACTCGATCAAACTAACTATTTAACATGCATACATCTATAACAAACCCGACCAGCTTATATACTAAGCAGGCAAAACAAACCTCCATAACAACGAATAAGTCCCCATCTTATAACACAAATAACAGCACCATCAGCTTGCTCTTTAAATGTGTCGTAGAAAGTCAAAGCGACTTTACCAAACAGGCGACATCTCAACATAGCATTCCTTCACACGTAAAAAAGTACATGTGTAAGGATATTAATTAGTATTTATCCTCTAACTATTATAAACATAATGAATGTACCGTCTGTCACGTAGATAGAAAGAAACTGTGCGATATATGCTATCATCCCCATCATAACCAAATTCCCCATACGTCTCTTCCTCTTCGTATTCCCCTTCTCCTTCATCGGCATCTACATCTTCTTCAACTTCTTCGTCTCCTTCGGTGTCTTCTTCTTCTTCTTCATCATCGTCCTCTTCGTCATCTTCACCAAATTCGGATCCTAGTCTTCCATGGCCTTGATCGTTTATTCCTCCTACTTCTTCGAGTAATTCTTTATAACCACCAGTAAGAGGACGAAAACGTTTTGTGGATGAAAATCCATACACATCCTCGTTACTACGCTTCAAGGAGCGAGTAGGTTCCTTATTTTCTACGACTAATCTACCCTCGTTGTATCTCTTCGACCTATCTAGTAAATAATCATAGTCTGGTATAACTTCATCAGATAAAGGGACGCCCTTATCATTAAAAACAACGGAACCCTCACGTAATTTCGTTCCATTGGTTTCAGCTTCGATATTAGAAGTTTGGACATCAACAACCTCTCCAATCAAGTCTTGCACAACGGAAATATGAAACGTCAATAAAACAGTGAATATAACAGATAACATGTTTAGATACAATTAGAACCACAAATCTTACCAACCAAAAAGTCGTCAGAATATCTTCGGTCCAAGATACTTCCAAAATCAACAAAATCAAAAAACTGATTGTTATCGATACCAGGTATCTTGACAATCGTAGTGTTTTTCAAAAGAATCATCTTATAGCGGTGCAAGGTTGCTCTGCAATCCCCAGTCTGATGAACAACTTTAAAGTCCTTAATCCGAAACCAACTACCGCTAACTATTACAGACACAAATTTATCGTAAACCTCTCCCCATAGAGAACACTGTATCTTGTTACCCTACAACGAACAAATCCATAAAAATAAGATCCAAGAGCATTATCTTATAAAAAAATAAAACAGTATAATATAAACAAACCTCACGATCCGCGAGAACAAACTCTAAACGCCTGCCACTGTTTTCTAGACGCCGTGTCCACGAACAAAGAACCTTGGTTTCGACAACCCACTCGTACTTGGAAGGATTCAATCGCCAAACACTATCATATGTTTTGGAGGTAAACATGACGACGATTATAACACGAATAGACGCGTAAGGGACTATATATTTATATGCTATGAATGAAACCAAAAATACCTAATCCACGAATAACTCGAATATATACTTATATATGAATTTTATAAATAACTCGATAAGGTTTCCGGGGATTTTCTATTTAGGTCTAAATTTAACTAAATAAATATTGCTAACAACGCATATCGTTTAATGATTATATATATATATATATATATATATATATATATATATATATATACCTCATTAAGATTGTTCATTGCAAAAGCAATTCTAATCTCAATATCCCAAGAATAAACACCAGACACAGTATAATTTTAGCGACACTATACATTTTTTTTTTAATAGGATGTAGTTTTCGCTCGTGAGTAATCCAATATATAAATTAAATCTGTTTTATTTTAATAACGTATAAGATAAATATCCAAAATAAAATAATTTGTATGACCGATAGACCGAGACGATAACATAACGTAACAACAGCTATAAGGAGATAAACTAAAATATAGATCTATTGTCACGTTCAGTCTTTAATCTTCTGTTTTTTCGCAATCGGACCGTGCTTGATCGAGAAGCTACAAAAAGCAAACAAACAATCGAATAAAACATGTATCAGCAGGAAAAAAGCGATGCCCATCAGCATCTTAAGCAAATGAGTAAACCTCAAACAAATATATAACTTACACTGATTTCATTTTTTTTACATCCGGTATCGAAGGATTCAACAGCAGTTTCGAACAGCGCACCCCTGAGCATATCCACATGCCTACATATTAAATTGAAACCACACGTTAACCATTATTAATCAATGTTTATAAATTATTTCTTCTATGCTACGTACCTTCCCTAAACTCGACACGGACAAATCGCAGTACACATATGATAACATCGGACGGATCAGTCATCCACAAACGATAAAGAGGTAAAGCATCCGTAATGCTTAAAACACATCTCAAAACTCTTTCACTGCGTTATATAGTTTAAATAAATCAGATCGATAAATGATCAACTTCTTCTGTGTATCAAAGTGGCATAATGTACCTTGTATCCTGGAGATCAAAGACTATATGTTCCACCTGATCCTCATACACGTGACAACCAAAAGAGGTTATTTTACTAACGTTAATGGCCTTTCCGATGATATCTGCATGAATCAAAGCGTCGGTCGAAATAAAAAAGCGTAACACTAATTTATAAAAAAAAAATAATCAACTGATAAAAACCATACCAACACAAATGGACGTATCATGCGCCCCATTTAGGATTCTCCCAAAATCCACGAAATCATAGAAACCATCACCCGATCTCTCCTGCAGAGTATCGCATAATGTTTTTTTATGAAATACCAGCTCAAATCTATGAGCAACAGGCTTCAACGCATCCACGACAGGTCTCAAAATAAAATCTGTTATCACTATCCATCGGTTCTCAACGATTCTCGATGAAAACTGTGGCATAAGCTCCATAGGTATGATACCATGGATTTTCCCACCCTGAGATACGATATACACAACACATGATTACACTACGACTTATACATGCAAACTATATTAAAAACAACAATCCACAGAACATGAGTTATACCTTATCATCGACCAACACGACGTCAACCGTCGAATAATGATCGTAGTACTCTTGCCAAATAGCAAGAACCTTTGCGCGAATACGCCACTCGCTGGTATCAGGATTCAGCTTCGAAAGAGGATACGGCTCCATCCGTAAAAATACAAAATCCCTAATTCAAAGCAGAGCGAAGATATATTATAACTTGGATGATAAAAGAAAAGAAAACGATGCCAGTATTTATATACTTTTTCCGTGATATCTCCACCCGGAAATACATGCATATATATATCACAAACCGTGAATAAATGTTAACAAATATTATTAAAAACTTATTCGATTTTATCTCTATATAATAAGTTAAAGGTAGTTATCATATTAGGGTTCTAAAAAAAAGGGAATTAACATTCGTATTTTTACGAAATAAGGAATACGACTTTATCGCTACAGATTATTAAATATTTTATAAACTAATATCCCGAAAGATGAAATCTAACTCTACGGTGTTATATAGATCTGTTTTTACATATGTGATTAGTTGACATTTTACAGAACCCTAAATGCATGGGCCGGAGCCCAATAACGAAATGATAATTTGCCATATCGTCGACGACAAATCGAAAGTATTATAGAAAATATACAAAACCGGTTAAGGTAGTCACCATTTTATAGTTACTAAAAAGGGAAATCAGGATGTGCTTACAGAAATCAACATGTGAGCTAGTTTACTATAAGAATACGACCATATTACTACATATTAATGTACTTATTGTTGATAAATATCCGGTTTATTTGTGAAATTGATATCTCAGCATTATAATGTATAGATTTTATACATGTGAAAAATTAACATTTTACTGAATCTTACGTTCATGGGCCAAAGCCCAACTACGGAATAACAGTTTGTGATTTGTCTAAACAATCCTAACGTATTTGGTGGCAAAATAAACCGAATAGAAAAAGGAAAAATAATAAACCTCCCACCAAAAAAAAAAACAAAGAG